CTGATGATGTCACCTCGGCTGGTGATGAAACGTTTGCGATCTAAACGCCAAGCTCAGCGAGCACAAGACCCCAGATAATACCGTTGTAACTGAAGCTGTCTGATAACAGTTTTAATTCAGTTTAAATAACATTACTACTCACAGGGCATTGAGTAGGCAGTGCTGGAATAAAAAAATGCAAGAAATAAAGCAATTCCATCTTTCGAGAACTTGTTGTGAAGCGTGGATCACATTAATTTGAGCTTTCGTCGGTTTAGTCGGTTTAGTCGGTTTCTGAGTCGTGCTTCGAACCCTATTGTCCGAAGTTCGAGCTCCGTAATCGCCATCCATCCATCCGCCAGCTTCACTGTCGACCGGTTCAATACCAGATCTAGCCCTGGCGGAGTCTTATGTGGTTCGTCACTCCAAGTCCTGACGATTAGGATACCGGTTTCTTTGACTGAACAGCAGATTGAAACATCGGGCCTCCTTTATCCAATTGGTCAGAACCGAAAAAAGAAAAATACTGAGAGATGTTAATATTTCTTTTAACCTCTTCAGTCGCTACAACGTAAAACAATCGAGTATTTATACAAGTAGGTTTTGATAACTACAGTGGTAAAATGGACAATAGTCAGGGAAGCGGGGGAGAGGGTGGCTTGGGAAATCAGGTCCATGGCTGTCTGACTGATTGAGTAAGAAACTTTCGTGCATATAATATTGGGTTACGTAACTTGATTAGCATCGTCTCGTTAAACGCTCTGTTCCATCGCGCCAGGAATGTATGCTCCCCTGTCACTGTCCCAGAAGAAGAGGCCTTTCTTCGAAGGTCTTTACTGGATAACGGAAAAAATTTATTGATGTGCATAGCAGACGAAAGACATCGGTTGATCTCGTCTGCGAAGTACCGAAGAAGAGCGTCTTCCTCAGACTCGCCTTTAAAGGTGATCATATAATGAACGACGTGCGTCAAAAGCGCAAGGCAGCACAGTGTCGAACGTTTCCTGACGCACAGCTTCGATTGATACCGTGTACCCAAGGACTTTGTTTAAAGAATCGAAAACTGAACCAGCGGAACAATTCTGCTTCACATGTCGTCTACCAGTTCACCTGCAGTTGCGTTGACACTTACATCGGCAGAACGAATCGGCCCCTGGCACAGTGGATGTCTGAACACAATCCCAAGTGGTTGGTACAATCGATGACTCAACAATGTCTTAGAGGTCAAACTGATAAGAGAAATCCAGGGTCATCAATCGCAAAACATCTCATGGCAACTGGACACATCGTTGACCCACAAATGTCGTTCAAGCCATTATTACGTAACTTGAACCCCAGGATTTTGGCATTTAGCAAGGCGATGCTAATCAAGTTACGTCACCTTGATCCGTCATTACCGAATGAAGTGATGTAATATTCATACAAGATAGTTGGACAAATACAGTGTGTTCACGACCAAAAGATGACTGTAGAACTCCTTACTCAGTTCATATGTATTGAGACCGATTACTTTAGAAAGAAACTTTTGAGCACACAGAGCGGGATGACGTCACTGGGCACTACAATCGTAAGCTTCACGTTGTGCGCAAAAGGGAGTCTCTGATGTACCCAATAGCCAAGGGATGTTTTACTTTTTTCAAATTTTTGTTCACATTTAAGTGTTTTGTAGATACTATGTCACTGTATTTTTTATATTCGATCAACAGGATTCAGTAAACGTGGATTCTGTGAACGTCATCCAAGTGATCCGGGACCCACAGTGGCCGACTGGTGTTCAAAGCTCTGTCCAAAGATTGCAGGCAGCCATGATACCGCCAACTGGCACCATAACACTATCGTTTATGGGTATTCCTATCACACGTAAGCAGATTTGATTGTGGGTCGCATATTCTGTTCTACTTGTGGTCAAGTGATAAGACCGATGAAAGAGACAGAATTACAGAATTGCACTGGGCTACACGTATTGATTGCCCCCTGCTTGCACTTAACGTTCAATTAAAACTTTGCATGTAAGATTGCACGATCTGAATGACCGGTTATGTATGTCACGTGACGACAGTTCAATGGGTGAAAATTTTCTTGAGGTTTATATGACTCCAAAAATATCGAATAATAATGATAATATTGGAAGGGGAAATGAACAGTACCCATCGAGAACCAACGGTGCAAACGAGGGAGTTCACCATTCCGTCCAGCACACATATGATAAGTGAAGTTAATGCCAGAGCGCACATGTGTAGGCATGGGTCAATGCAACGCATGAGTCTGGACAGGGGACCAAACCGAATGAGACTAAGCAACGCGTTACGACAATCACAGGGCAGGGTGAGTCAGACCATTCAAGGATCAGAGACAGTCATTATGACTAAACAGGTTTCATAGGCGAGCATAAAAATGGGATCAATCGAGGCGAACGGGAATTGTATGTCAGGATATGGAATGTCGGGTGGTCGATAATCCGTACAGGTTAAAGGAAAGTGACAAATGTCGGTTAAGTGGCCAAACAGAAATGTGAATGAAAGCATGTGTAGGGTGTTAAACAAATTCAACACGCACAGGCATATTAAATATTTATTAGCATCATAAGTAATAAGTAATTGATCTAATAAATATGTCAAAATGAGAGAAGATTGATATAAATTAACTATTCTATGTGAACAGGCAATGAGCTGAGTCAGTCATCAAAGTTTAATCACAGTTCGAGCCACCGAGAAAAGTAAAGGAATGGCAATTTTTTTATTGTATTCCGATCACAGTGTTACAACAACAACAAAAACAACAACAACAACAACAATAACAACAACAACAACAACAACAAAACATGGTGTTTTAACCAGCGACCCTCGTGGATGAGACTTTTTACTCATGCGTTAGTTAAGTTTTACTGTTCACATTTCGGCCTATTTCGACTGCGTCAAAAACGAGTCCAGTGGGGCAGTACGTGACAGCTTGTCTAGAATTTAGTTTGCCAATCGGTTAATTTTAATCAACGTACATCACTGTAGCAATCGAAATAGGTACGGATCAGGAATCAGGAATCCCGGCGCAAGTGAAGCACAGAATCGCACTAGCAATCGTACACTGGAATCTCCCGTCAGCGAGAAGACGAGAAAAGGTAACAAAAGTAGCGGTTCCTTTATCGAGAGAAATAAATAGGAATAAATGATGAGTTAATAACAATACCATTTGTAAAACAGATATCACTCAATCCGCATTTTCGTTCTTCGCGTCACACGGTTTCTGTTGGAAAGTTTATTACTGTTGATTAATCGATATTAGTGATCCATGACCCAATGCTGATAAAATGGAACGCGTAGGTGTTTTACCGACACCATCTTGGAGGACTGACTCACCACGGTCACATTCATCTCGTCTGTCGACTCCATGTTGCACCGTGCTATTGAAGGTTGACCACGAAGTTATACATACGTACTACTACTACTACTAGTATTTAAAAACAACACAGGAATCGCACTGGAACTCAGTTTCTGGTGTTCCCTCAACCGCCACGAATGAAGGAGGCCATAAACGCTGAGATTCGGCTCGGTCTAATTGAAACTGAAGCAACGGGTCCCTGTGAAACACTTGTGGATTCTTATTGGCAACAAAATTATTCTTTGCATAAGAGAGTATGATTGGTGGAAAATATCTTCTCGTTGGATAGACGACAATGATCTTCTGCAACGTTTTTTCAGAGTAATACGAATTAGGTCGTCCTCCTGTTTGGATGTACTCGGTTTACGGTCTCCACAAGCTGTTCTGGTAGTTGTTTGTCTATGGATTGTCCTGTAGAGTGTGATTTGGTTAACTGTAGAGCATTGGGAAATATTTTATGTGGGAAGTCCCAGCTTGTGTGCTCGCGCAATCCTATTTCTGTCCTCTTCACTAAGATACCGAGAGCTTTAGGTTTCGAGCGCTGCTTGCTTCATTATGGTGAAAACAATGCGAACATTCAAAGCGGTGCATAAAAAATGACGTTGATTTCAAGGTTGATATTGATGAAAATGGTATTTCTCGAATTCAGCGAGTTGGATACCAAACATAGAACATTATTATGAAAGCTTATCTAAGGCAATTTCTCTGGGTTGTAAAATAATTTCATTTGGTTCTTCAATGAAGTTGCTATCATGGATTATATATTAGGTAAAATAATGCCTCATAACAAATAATCTGGGATAATTCTTGAGTCACTTCTTTTAGAATATATTATATTTTTATACCTGATAAAGTTTGCGATTTTCATGTTGAGGCAGGAACGTTCAATTGACAATCATGCAGCCTAGAAACTTCTTAGGTTAAAGGTAGACATAAGATAAATATTTAAAATATTTAAGTGCATCACAATCGGCCAGTACTGTAAGTAGAAACCAAACTGAGAAACATTTTTCCCCCTAAAATGTCATTGATTCCGAACACGCTGTCCAGTCAGCATTTGTCTCCGTGATCTCATCATATTCCTTATTGTGCCACAACTTATTTGGTTTGCTTAGCTTTTGTTGGTCTCTCAGTGCTTAGTAGAAACTGCGACGCGTCTCTCCCCGGGCCAGTCATACACCGCTCCTTTAAATCATCGCGCGCGCACACACAACATGAGGGGCAGTTAGTATTTCTAAGTGCGCATGCCAACTCGATCGAGGTCCACGAACGATAAATGGTTAGACTGCAGCGTTTTTGTCGCACTACCCAATCGAATTTAGGCAAAATGAATTTCGTATAGACAGAACATTTGCGCACTGCTCAAAACAGCAAATAAATACACTATTTTGTAGCTTTCAACGTCTGGCTGTTTTATAGTTAAGTTTTCGCTCTCTAAAAGTTAGCCGATTCCTCATTAGTTTTTGATGTTCCATTTGTAATCGATGCACGTGTGACGTGTGTTAATCGATAACAACAAACAGTTGTTATTCCCTTTGGAAATTTGTCACTAATGTATGAGTATACTGTAGAAAAGTCACAATAAGTGGAAAACTTTTATCTATTTTTCCATGTCGGTCATGACAATTTCACCATAGAATTAAAAACATAAAAAGACTAAGGTATTCCGGATAATATTAACAGATAAGATCTGTGTAGTAATCCGATTACGCACGCATCATGGTTCACCAGAAACAGTCGCAAATGTTAGCAGAGGATTGTACTAGCAATTGTGGGCTGGAATCTCCCGTCACCAAGACGCAGGTAAAATTCCACAGAAGTAGCGGTTCCTTTATTGCGACAAATTAATGGGATTGAATGATCAGCATGAGGAAACATCATTGGTCAAACGGGTCCTCGCCAGTGGCCTACTTACATTCTTGGTGTGATACAGCTTCCGTTTGAATCGTGCAGCTTCTTATTGGTTGGTACTTATGGCCCGCGGTTCGCTGTCTAGAAATCGTAACTCGACGCACTGTGGTTGTTCGGGCTGAGATCACAAAATCTGGCAAAAAGTGGTTTGCTTGCCCTAATTCCCTTTTGTTGTTTGGATGATGATCAATGTCACTAAAGGTCCAAAATGATGTCTGGGACCTAACATGCATGGAAGTCCTGACTTGGTGGGAGGATTTCGATTGGAGTTAACAGATTGTTATCTGTTTCTCCCTTCGTTTCTCTCGGGTCAGATGAACTGAAGAAAACACCTGAACAAATATGAATTGGCAATTTGATTCGGCCATGGTATGAGCTAGTTGGCACAGTGGTAACGCACACACCTTCCATGCGATGGTTCCGGAGTTCGAATCCCAAATGGGACGGTGGATATGCACTACTGATGAGCGAAAATCGAGTCTAGTGCATCTGAGTGCATGGTTGAATCGATGAACCGAGGATTGTGCGTGAAGATGAAGACCGAAGGATAGTCAGCTAAAATCAATAAAGAAGTGTGATTATCTCCGATGAAAATGGAGCCACCGAACCCGCATTATTGTATAACAACCACAGCCGCCCAACTTGAAACTCGATGAGAGATATCGGCTTCGCATGCTCATTTTAGCCAAATTAGGATTGCAGCACAGAGGGAAACACAACAAACATTGTGTTTCACACACGAGTTTCTTTTTTTACTGTATACTCAGCCAAAAGTTGGCCACTGCAAACCTCGTAGTAACGTTTGTGTTCGTCTAACGAGTGAGGGTGAAACACGAGCTCCTAGTCCAAGTGAACAACGTGAATACAAGGATTACCAACAAGTGGCGTGTGGAGTTTATACTTGATCTTTTTGCAGCTGTTCTGTTATTTTTATCAACCGGATTCTATAAACATCAGTCGTAACAATTCAAAAGATCAATCAGTGTGACGGTAGTGCGATGATTCTAGTCGACGAGATAGCGCGAACCACGGAACGACGCGATACAGTCGCCGGACAGTGAACCACGGGCCAACCGTGTCAACCAATCAGAAGCCGTACGGTTCAGATGGAAGCTGTATCCCGTCCAGAATGCAAGTAGCCCATTGTCAAAGACCTGTTTGACCAATAACTATTTTCGTTTATATTTTTTAATCCCATTCAAGTCCCTTAATAAAGTAACCACTACTTCTGTGGTCTTTATCGTGCGTTTCGAAGACGAGCAATCCCAGTGTACGAATGTTAGTGCGATTCTGTGCCACAGTGGTGACTGTGATTCGTGATCCTCACTTATTTCATGCCTGTCTGGACCATTACATTCCACCAATGAACATCTTCGTTTCTGTCCCCAATGAGTTCTATCGATGCATCGCAGTTTAGCAGATATGCAAGAAATTTGATGGCTGTATTGATTAAGCAACCGAGTAACATTTTGTGATAAATGTTATTTCTCAAAATGTTTTCCACCTCAAAAAAGTTAAGTATAAACTTGTATGATCTTCCACCCCCTCGTCTTACTTTGTCAACATTACAGCATTTCCGTTCAATTTTGTGGACAGTAGTGTCATTGAACGGGCGTTGGAGACACACCCGTTACTTACTAATGTCAGAGTGGGTGTCTCTGGCACATGCTGGGATCTGAAAGTGAACATTGAATTTCTATCCAGCGGTGGAGATCAACCACTTCTCGAGGTGAGTCCTTTGGTTGACATCAGTCCGCTTTATCTCGGGGTCTAATTCCGTTTGTATCAAGGAAGTTAGCAAAGGTCAGTTTGCACGTCTTGAATACCTGTTATCATAACCATATCATCCAGCGAAATGATTACAAGTGAACGCAAGTCTGCATAATAGTAAGCCCTAGGAGGCCCTCGAAAATAAGTCGTTTTCACAACAATTTACCATGCATTTTCATGCACCCGTTTGGGCTGCCAATAGTGATAAAAAAGCCGAATAAAGATTGCAGTCTTGGGAGCAGAGACAAGTGAAGATTGCACGAGTGACACTGTTTGTGTCACTCAACCATTTTACTCAGTGTCTCTAACCACCGGTTACCACGACCCCTAGGTTCCCATCCAGGAGCCTAACGGGACCTACATGATACAGTGTTTCGGTTCGAGTTTTCATAACCTCATGCCAAGTCTTAGCTTAATTGCCATTGACCATCCGCTGTCTGCATCGGTAAATATCGCGCGCCGTAGCAACCTATTTGTTGACTTGCGCAACACATCCCAAACAACGTAATCTATGGAGGTTGACCGCTTGCCTCAGTGGACGACCGCGATTACCTAAAACTCTGCGCTTAACCTCAGCATTGCTTGTCCGGCTGCCCCACCAGATTCGTTCAATGCTGCGTAGACAGCGGTATTCGAACACTGACAGTCTATCTTTATCCTGTTTCCTAATGGCCAAGTAAAGCAGAACTGGCCGAACTGTCGTGGCATACACTCAAACCTTCACAGATAGTCGGATGTCACCACCGCGCCACAGATGTCTCAAGTTGGCAAATGCTAACTGGGCCTTGGGAGTTGATACTTCATCCGTGATGCGTCCACCGGATGAAATATAGCTGCCCAAATAACAAAACTTAGCCACGTGCTCTATTTATTCCCCAGTTAGAGCAAGGCTAGGTGCTAGACCAACCCAGTCTTGAAGTAAAATTTTGCACTTTGGAGGTAAAGAGAACGCATATCAAACATGGCTATACTATCATTCACACTGTTCAAAAAAGTTTACCACTTACCTGGATCTTCACTTGCGCAGCACAATGTCATCTGCATACCCCATATCAAATAGTCTACCACCTGGAAAAAATCGATGCCACTATCCTCACACGAGGATAGGGTTGTTTCAAGAATTGAATCTATGACAAAGTTAAATAGGAGCAGAGGGCAACCCTGATGAATATCACTTTCTGTAGTGATCTTAGGTAAAAGAAAGTTTTGATAGCTATCATGGTTCAACGAACTGGTCCCGCTAGTCTTGTTGTCTCTCAATTTTTTCATCCGCCAGCACGATGTAGTCAGTATTTTTGGGGTTGTGTAAAGCAGCAATGTGGAGGTATGCCTTCATGTGATTTATTTGAAATAAACGCACCTAAATTCTCCCCAAACGGTGACCAATTTAATTTTATCGTACAAATTTTTCAGCACTATTGTGGACATGGGATGCCCGCTAAGAATGATATCCTATTGGCTTTCTGACATGCATATAAAGTTACACATGGTTTTGCGGGCATCTATCTATAGGGTAACATGTATATATACTATGGTGAAGTAGCACACGAATTAGACAACGCCTTAAATTTATTGTAATATTCCAGTGTTGTATTTATCCCTATCGTGGAATGAATGTGACCGGTCAAAGTTGTTTCACATGCCCAAAGGATGGGCGCCCCTTAAACAGTAGGGAAAAAGCTATCCGTTCTGACCTTGTAGTCTGTTTGTTCCGCAAACAT